GGCCACCACACCCCGCCACAAGATCTACCCCCAGCCTTCCCCCAACCATCACACCAAGGGGAGAAGATCCATCTGCACATCCCATTTTAATGGGAAACACCGGGAAGAGGCTGGAAATAGTCTGAGCAATATAAGTCTATACATATTGATATATCTAAACATCTACAAGATACATTAATATATACAATATTATATAAAAATATATTTATAGCATGTTAATATATTAATACAGCTATATTAAATATATTGTACACCTATATTTTATATTAATATATCTATATAATATATATTTATATATATCTAGGCCATATATATCTATAGGCATCTGTGCATTACATCCCCTGTTCTGCGCGGGCACCTTTGGATTTCATTTTCCCCCATCCCCGTGAATCTTAAATCGCTCCTCAGCGCTTTGTGCCGGAGTGAAGTTTTCCTAGACAGACAGCAGCAGGCAGGGAAAACATTAATTAAACTTCTTGTAATAAGGGATAATTACGGTCCAGGAGAGGCTGGGAAAATGCCATCTACCCGCCGCCATAACCGAAGCAAGCCCCCCCGGCTTGCAGCGGGGCTGAGGTCAGAGCAACCCATTTGTTATCCTGGATCAAACCCCATCTGGACTCATCCCCGTTGTTATTTCTCCGGGAAAATAACCTCCTTTGTGGAGGATTTTGCAGGGCGCTGTTGTTCCCGCAGGGCTGCCTAGCACTGCCTACTCAGAGCAAAACAATTTCCAGTTATTCAGGATTTTACCCTTTCTTGGATTCCCCTGCTTTTCCTTTTAATAGTGGGGGAAAAAATAGCCTGGATGCTTACGGCACTGTAGGATCGCAGCAAAAGCACCGGCGGTGTGGGCAGGAGTGAAAATCAGAGCGGTGGACGGAATTTGTAAGGGATAAATGAACAACGAAGCAGTTTGCACATTAAATCTGGGATTTGACAGGAACCGGCCTCAAATTCCCATTTTGATGGGAACCAGCCCAGATTTCGACTCCGAAGGATGCATCCCTTTCTCACACAAGGGTTTTCAGTGCTTCCCTGTGTCCCGGAGGGAGGGCTTGAGCCCTCTCCCTTCTCACCAAGGCAGGGGGCTGCCGATCAGGATCCGGCCCAGGGGATACTCCTTCCCTCGCACCGTCACCGGTGGGCTGACGTCCAGGTTGCCGAAGGAGTCAAGGCTGGTGATGGCTTTCCCAGGGGGCTCGCGGGTCACATAGCCAAAATCGGGGCCCTGGAGAAGAGGGAAGCAGTGATGGGGACCCCCTGGGCAGGGGATTTTGGGGAGACAAGGGGAGTTGGCCATGCAATGACGCACCAGGATCTTTTTAAAAGCAAAATCCTTCAAGCCTCTGTTCCTGGGCGAGTCAAAGACGACAGGGAAGGTCTTGTGCGGCGCTTCCACATAGCCAAACTCCAGCTCGTCCTGTTGTGGGAAGAAGAGGAGGAAGAGGAAGGCTTCTGGCAGAGTGATAGCCATCTCGGCGAGGTATGCGGTGAGGGTGGAGCAGGAAATGGGGCAAACCTGGCAAAGCCCAGCTGTTGCCCTTAAGCTGCCTTGCCCTCCCAGGAGGTGACACAACATCCGGCACCACGGCGCCGGGCACCAGTCACTCCCGGGGATGCAACACATGGCCACAACGGGCAGGGAAGCAGGGCGCACATGGCAGGGGCAGCCAGCATACGCCGTGTCCTCCTGGCGATGCACTGTGGGGTCCCTCTTGCAATGGAGACCCTCCTGCAATGCTCCATGAGGTCCCTCGTGCAATGGGGTCCTCTCTTGCCATGTCACATGGGGTCCCTTTTGCAGTGGGGACCCCCTTGCAAAGCCCCACGGGTTTGCTCTTGTAATGGGGTCCCTTCTTGCAATGCCTCCATTAGGTCTCTCTTGTAATGGGACCTCTCTTGTGACATCCCGTGGGGTCTCTCTTGCAATGGGCTACCTCTTGCAATGACCCGTTGAGTCCATGGACAGCATGCCTGTCTGTGCTGGCTGCCACCACCAGCAGCATTTCCCTGCGCTTTAGTTCACGGTTGCCTGGTTCACCTCTTAGCACCTAGGTGCTTTCCCAAGCAGCTCAGCTAGTCCCTCCCACAGGATCACAGAATGGTCAGGGTTAGAAGGGCCCTCTGTAGATTATCCAGTCCAACCCCCCTGCCCAAGCAGGGTCACCCAGAGCAGGCTGCACAGCACCGCAGCCAGGCAGGGCTGGAACATCTCCAGAGAAGGAGACTCCACAGCCTCCCTGGGCAGCCTGGGCTCCGTCACCCTCAGACGGAAGAAGTTCTTCCTCATGTTCAGACGAAACTTCCTCTGCTTCAGTTTGTGCCCATTGTCCCTTGTCCTGTCGCTGGGCACCACTGAACAGAGTCTGGCCCCGTCCTCCTGACCCCCACCCTGCAGATATTTAGAGGCATTTCTAAGGTCCCCTCGCAGCCTTCTCTTCTCCAGGCTGAACAAGCCCAGCTCCCTCAGCCTCTGGCTCATGGTCAACCTGTCATCCCAGGGGTGTCAGCAATGGGGGTGACAAACTATGTGCCCCAGGAGCCTGTAAGGGACCAAGAGAGCTATGTATCAAGGAGAGCATTGGTTGATGACCTGGATCCAGCGGTCACTGCGGGTGTCCACCTCTGAGCAGATGGTCAGCTTGCAGTTGGCTTTCTTCAGCCGGACCTGGAGGCCTTGG